TAAGTAAAGTATACTCTTTTGAGTGGGAAATTCTCTTTTTTGAAAAAAAAATGTTTTAGAAAAAAAAAAGGCGTGCGGGAAAAAAACATATCTGGATAAAAATCAGAGGGTAAGGTGTAAAATTTTAGAGGTTAGAGCGTTATAGGGGGAGAAGTCCAGAGTCAAGGTGTTATGGGTAAGTTGTAAAAACATCAGGGGGGGAAGTGTTAAGAAGAGAATTTTTTTGTTTTTGTGGGTCTAAACACATGTGAATGAGATTAGGTGCGCGTTTGTGACTTTTTCATATATATATATATATATATATATATATATATATATATATATATATATATATATATATATATATATATATATATATATATATATATATAAATTTAACAAACAAGTTTATTATTATTTAAAAAAAAAGAAAAGAAAATAATAATAAATAAATCTGCGAAAATGATAAATGCGGGATCAGAAATGCTGAATGCAGTTTGGCCGAAAATTGCATATAAGGGCAGTATAGTACTGTCGCTTCTCCAGGGGATATGTCAAATGATGATTTGGGCTTGAGTTTATCCCTAGTTTATTTGGTGGCTAGTGGGTATGTAAAACAACCCCTAAATTAATATGGTGGGTGCTACTAATTTAATGAAACAGTAGCATTTAATAATGGACTTTGATTTAGTTGCGAGTTTGAAGAAGTGTGAATCTTGTCAACCGAAGAATTTGAAATGAATCACAATTTCTCAAAAGCAACTCGAAAGTAGAAACGAGGGGTATTGATTTGAAATTTCTTGTCAAATCGCTCAATTCATACAAGCTCAGTGAATTTTATTAATAGATCTCAAATCCATCCCTCAAATCGTTCCATCTAAATGAACCCTAAAAGTATTGGAGTCTTTGGTTGCACCAATTTGGCGTCACCAAGAATGATCTTCTTCCAAACGCGATCTTCCCTCTTATTCTCGAGCTCCTTTCAATTGCAATACCGAAAACACTTCAACACTCAAAATTGGTTGCACGAACGTGTGTAAAATGTGTATGAATCGATATACACGTGTATGGTAGAATATACTACGATGAAATTCATCGGGTGTAGTATAGAATACAATGTAAGAAAGTGGAAACCTAAATATAGTTAGGCATAGAGAATATATATGGAGATAGGTTACTCCATGGGTGGAACCAGGATCAAAATGTAGGGGGTGCTAGCTAAAATAAATTTAGGTTCATAAGACATTGCAAAAATAAATTTATATTGAATTTTTTTAATTAAAATGACATATATATTATAATTTTATCATATTTTAAGCATGATAAAAAATCTAAATTAATCCAAATTATTCTAATAATGTATCGTACTTAATATTTTGGGAATTCATGACATCGTCTCATGTTATTTTGTAGAGTCATTGATAAAAAAAATCACAAATACGTAAATATTCATAAATTTTAAAATAATAGAAGTTTTAACCATTTAAAAAAAAAATTATACTTAATAGTATATATATATATATATATATATATATATATATATATATATATGGAGAAGAGACAAAAAAATTAAAGATTAAAACACATATTTACAAAAACTTTGGGGCCAAAAATAATATTAAAAAAATGCAATACCAAAATACCTAATTTTTTTTTTTTTTTTTTTAAATCTTGGGGGTCAACAGCCCCCAAGCCCCTTAATAGTTCCGCCAATGGCTTACTCCTAATTAAATAGGACTAGCTAGCCAATTAATATTTGATTGCTTTTAGTTTTATTACAATTTTATTTTTTTATTGATAAAATGGTAAGAAAATTTATTTGTATTAAAACAAACAATTTAAGATACTATCAAATGTTAGGAAAAACAAAATTCTCAACTTAATCCTAGGATTAGATGTCATAAAATAGCTAGAGACATCCTAGTGGACGCATTATATGTGGACAAGAAGAATTATGATAATACATACATACTATCTTGAGTTGATTTTTTTTTTTTTTTTTGAATAAATATGCTACTTGGCCAATATGGCACATATGCACCTTACCCTATAGCAACTATTGATCTACTATTGCCAAATTAAACATACAACTTGCAAGGGAAAGCATGCATTGTTTTACTTTTGTGATTATATACGTGAAACTTAAAAAAAGAAAAGAAAAAGTTTGAAGTTCAATTCAACTTTAAAAAGTTGTTAGAGTGATGGAGCAAAATCTGCATCCTTAGAAACTCCCTTTAAACTTAATTCACTTCATCTATCGTTGGAGAGCTCAACTGAAGCCGGATCTAGAACCGGCGGTAATGAATAAGCAATTGAAAAATGTAAATAAGAGAGAGAGAATTGAAGAAAAAGTGTAAAAGTGTATTATTGATCTTTAATTGTAACTTTAATAGGGTTTTTCATATTCGTTTATGTAGAAAATTATATATAACTATTTTCTAATTAAGTTAAGATCCCTTTCTGATCTCTATATTTACTTTGATTGATCAATTATCGATCCTAATTTACATATTTTTGTTATCTATTTACGAAAATTATGCTAAGGTCTTCCTCCCCAACGGATATCTCCAAGCTCGTCACCTAACATACTTGTGCGATTTGTTATGTGTTAACGGGTCTATATGCGGGAACTACCTATTCAGCGATCTCATTATCCCTAAATCTTCTCTTAACATCAGTCCGGCTCATCCTAGTGCTTACCCTTTAGGGGTTTCTTCCTCCTCTCTCGTGCTTACCCTAAGATTATTTATTTTTAATAATTTTGAGTAATATTTTTAAGATATAGATCTTGGATCCCCCAATCTTGTGTAAATATAAGTTTTAACCCTTCAACTTTTTAATTTTTCTCTATTCTTTCATGTAAATTTATACACTTTTTCATATTTATTATTATATAAAATATTATTGTTAAAATTATACCTTTTTACATAAAATAAATAAAATATTACTTTTTTTGCTTCATTATTTTTATGAATTACTCTAAAAAAATTCGGCGACGATGCCCCCAAACACCCATAAAATTTAATCTCCATCTGTTTTGTCATTTCATAAAAGCCTATCCCCGTAATCAAATTTTCTGGTTCCGCCCCTTATCGAAACCATCCTCGTCTTGCAGAGGGCCGGCAAGCTCGAGAAGGTTTTGGTCCAAATGGTTGGTTTGAGGACTACACCGACTGCGAGGACGGCGGCAAGACGATGGTGATGGAGATGATTCCGTATGAGGTTGATACCATTACACTCAAATTGCTGAAGCAGTGGATCCAGGAGAAGCTCAAATTGGGGTAGGAGAATCTCCAGCGTGCAAAAGAAACTGAAGTCAACTTTATTTTTATTTATTTATTTGTTATTATTTGGACAAAATGCACTTCATCCCCTACAATTTTTTTCATTTTCGCACTCCCCCATAAACTGGATAATTCCCGTTCAGAATATTATTTTGGTTGCACTTTGCCGAGAAGCAATTTTTTGGTGGGCATTATTCAACTAAAATAACATTTTAAATGGGCAATGTGCAAAAAAAAAAAAAAAAATTTAAGGGATAACATGCATAAATAACATATAAAGGAGCTTGCTTAGCAGAATATTGAAAGCACGATATTATCCAAATGTACATTTGTTCGAAGCCACACTAGGTTCAAACCCATCATACCCCAAGAGGAGTTTATGGAGTGCAACCAATATTTGGGGGAACCGGTGGCTGCCAAGACAAACTACATTCCAGATTATTCCCCCAGAGGAGACCATATAATGGACATGACAGTTAGTGAGCTAATATTGGAAAACGGGATGTAGAATGACGAACTTATCCGTGGATTACTTTTTGACGAAGATTGTGAGTCTATCCTGTCTATTCCATTAGGAAGTGGAATAAATGAGGATTTATATCTGACATTGTAATCGGAATGGGAGATTTTCAGTTCCGAGTGCGTATAACATTGAAGAGGTTTACCCTCATCGATCAAAAAAGAAAAAAAAAGAGGTTTATCCTCTGGTGAAAGAAAGTCGGCGGAAGGATGTGGAAAAGAGAAGAAGGAAGAGAAATTAGAAGAAAAGGAAAAAAAAAACGGAAGGGGCCCACAGGATGTGCACGATTGCGATCGTACAGGGCAAAAAAGAAAAAAAAAAGAAAGGAAAAGAATTTGAACTGTGAAATTGGATAAATACACCCAAACGGCGTCGCTTTACAGCCCGAATTGCTGAAAGAAAAGAGAAAATAAATTGTGGAGAGTAAAATCATAACACACACACGATACTAGTTATTTATCAACAAGAATCTCACATTAGACAACCTGCAACAATAAACCGTTGAAGAAACCTAGTCACAAGAATGCGCGCCCCAACTTCAGTCCATGATGGTACCATTTGTTTCGGATTTTTTTGCAAGTAAGTCTGCCTCCACGGACTGGGAGGTTGTTAGCTGTGTCATTTTCTCTCCGAGCAGACGCCTCAGGAGGATCTTGTTGGCTACGTGATCTGGTTTGCATCGTTCCCACAGACGGCGCCAAAATGATGATGATAATTACTTAGATCACCTGGGGTAGTGTAGAAAATGAACTGGGAGAGCAAAACGGATCAGTAGCTTGACAACTTGATGATCCTGAGGTACCTGCGATCATAGAATTAAACACGTGAACTAGGCCGGGGTTGATCCGGCGGAAACCCCCTCCGACGCTCAAGTCAGTGATCATAGAAATAGTCCAGAGAATACAGTTAATAGTATTGCTCACTTAATAGGACGTACCTTAAGGAATGAGTTCAAACCTTTATTTATAGCTTAGTTGAGATTGTCGGGCCCAAACCTTACTTGAAGGTGATTGGGCCTCGGTGATAGTGGTCTTCGATATTGGGCTAATGGCCCAGTAGGTAAATCATTTGTAGGCCCATTGGGTTTGAGCCAATTAGGCATATCAAATATCCTATGATCGATTCATGGCAGTCGCAGCGTGTGAATTTCAACAG